ATGTTTGCATATTTAAGCACAAACTATTTTTAATTGAGAGATCGTGAAAGAGGAGGAGAAGGGCGAGAGAGAAGATTTATAGACTCTACAGGTGAGAGAAAAAAGCCCGCGACCTGAACCAAGTGAAGTCCATCAAAAACAAGGAAGGAAGGAAAAGTATTGTTGGAAGAGGCACACATTAGACAAAGATGTCAAACATACTTTCATGAACTCTTGTATGAAGATAGGGACAAGAATATTGTACTGGGTGATTTTGAGAACTTTGAGAGTCGTCCAAATTTTGGGTACCGTAGATGCATAAAGTTTGAGGAGGTTATTCGTAAGATGAGAAGGTAGAGAGCCATCGGGCCAAGCAAGATCTCAGTGGAATTTTGGAAGAGTGCAAGCAAGATTGGTAGTAATTGGCTAATTTGGTTGTTTAATTACATTTTTAGGATGACAAAAATGCTCAAGGAATGGATGTAGAGTACAATGTTTTCAGTTTACAAAAATAAGATTGATATCCAAAATTGCAACAACTATAGGGGTATCAAGTTGTTGAGTCACAATATGAAAGTTTGGGAGATGATGGTGGAGACGAGGGTGAGGAGGTGGTGTGTCTATTATCGAGAACCAATTCAATTTCATGGCGTGATGATCAAGCCATTCATCTCATAAGGAGATTGGTGGAGTAGTACACGGTGAGGAAGAGAGACTTTACATTTGGTGTTCATTGATCTAGAAAAACCATACAATAGTCCCTAGATGGTTTTTTGAGGATGTTTGAAGGTTAGAGGTGTACCCATAACATACGTTAAGGCGACAAAGGATATCTATGATGGAGCCAAGAACTAGGTAACCACAGTAGGGGGAGACTCGGAACACTTCTCATATGTGATGGGGTCGCACCAAGGATAAAAAAATTATCCCATTTTTATTTCACCTTAGTGATGGATAAATTGATGTGACATATCTAAGGGGAGGTGTTATGGTGTACCTATAACATACATTAAGGCGACAAAGGATATGTACGATGGAGCCAAGACCTGGGAAACCACAGAGGGGGAGACTCGAAACACTTCACATATGTGATGGGGTCGCACCAAGGATAAAAATAATTATCCCATTTTTATTTTACCTTAGTGATAGATGAATTGATGCGACATATCTAAGGGTAGGTGTTATGGTGTATGTTATTTGTAGATGACGTAATATTGATTGACGAGACACACGATGGATTTAACGATAGGCTAGAGTTTTTGAGACAGACCTTGATGTCTAGGTTGAGGTTGAGCTGGACTAAGACAGAGTGACGTGACCCAAGAGGCCAAGACGTATATGTGGAAGTGAAGATCGATACATAAGTCATCTTCATGAAAGGAAGTTTCAAGTATCTTGAGTCAATAATCCAGTGAAATGGGGAGATTGATGATGACGTTATACATCGTATTGGAGTAGGGTGAACGAAATGGAGGCTCACATCCGGTGTCTTGTGTGATAAGAACGTGTCATCTAGACTTAAAGGTAAGTTTAGTGGTCTTTGTGGTGGACAAGATTGAGATGGTTCGGGTATGTGAAGAGGAGATGCTCAGATGCCCTAGTGAGGAGGTGTGAGAGGTTGACCATGGTGTGTCTGAGAAAGGTAGAAGTAGAGGTAGGCCAAAGAATTACTGAGGATGTGATTAGACATAAGTTCATAACATGACATACCTGCAGCTAACTGATGATACATAACTCTAGATAGGAGGATATGGAGGTCGATAATTAAGATAGAAGGGGTTAGTAGGTAGTCAAGCGTTGTCAAGTTTTCCTTATCAGTATTTTTTATTATTATTACTCTTGTGGTATCTTATTCTTCGATTTTTATCACATGTTCTCCTTTCTTTGATTATCGTACTATTTGTTATTGCTATAGTTCTTTACTAATGTATTCCTTTTTCATACCTGTTTTAAAATGTTTTACTTGAGCCGAGGGTCTATCAGAACAACTTCTCTACCTTCACGGTAGGGGTAAGGTCTGCATACACACCACCTTCCCCAAACCCCACTTATGGGATTACCTTGGGTACATTATTGTTGTTGTTATGACTGTCATACTTCATTTATGTTCATTTTTACTGGACTTTATTACTATGAAACCATCTTTTCACAGGTGTACTGATATTCTAAGTTTGAAAGTTTGCATTCTGCAGAACTTTCAAGGGTGTATTTATCTTCTTTTCTTTGTAGTTACAGAAAATCCTGTTATGATAATATTATTCTCCTTGCTTTGTGTGCAGTGTGACTTGTATCCTTCGCTGGGCTACCTATAAAGAGGAACCAACATGTCCTCAGTGTAAGCATCCATTTGAGTTTCTCTACATCCATCGCTCACTTGATGGAAGGTAACTGATTAGTTTTGAGTAAACTTTCCTTTATTTAAAATATTTGTGAAACATCATGATGCTAATGAACTTGGTCAGTCTGTTATCTGATTAACACTGTTATATTTTAATGGTGAATGATATTATGAAACCATGAGCACAATGGTGGAAAGATGTGTTCATTGATGAGATTGAGACTAGCAGAACGTTTTTTTAGTAAGTTTGTGACTTGCTACGATTTTCTTAAATTTGATGTCTATTTGGATGGTTTCTATGTTTTTCAAGCTTGCAGGTTAGTTTCGTGTCATTGTCTTATTTGCTGGACTAACATATTGATATCAAGTTCTCCAATTATGTTTTGTACCGGGCAGTTACCTTGGTAACTTCACCTTTAATTTTTAAATAATTTTCTGTTGTGTCTGTGCCTCGATTATTCATTGGGGGCCTGCTATCTCCCACTAGACACTAGATAAATCTGTGCATCAAGGTTTATGTAGATGAGAAGAATACATATAGCTTAGTATCTTTGGTGGTCGAACCTTGGTTCCGAACGTGTCACTCCAACCCTTCTACGACTAGGCCAGCTCCTTGGGGGGAAGCTAGACCTTTAAAATTGTGTGGTATATGAGTTGCCTTATGCCCTTGTCTTTGTTTTGGTTGTTGGGTGTTGATGCAACCTCCAGAGGCAAGGACTAAGGAGGGAGATGTGAAGTCTTGTGAAGCATAGCAAGAGTTTAATGTAGAGAGGTTTAGATAACTACTTGCTTTCATTATTCATTGAAAGCCTCTAAACTATATGATTCATAACAACCAGTGAATCTATCCTCGTTTTCTTTCGACTTGTCCCTGCAGGTTACAGATATGATCAACACCACATACATTCTATTCTCTGATCTTAAAGTTGATACTTTCTTCTGGATTCCCTTCTCCAGTGGCCTCTTTAATACAAAGTTTGCTTATCAGTTATTCCATATTATTCAAACTCCCAATTTTTACCAGGACCCACCTCCCCATAGATGAATCTGGAAGACAAATTGCCTGAACAATCATAGCTACTTCATGTCATTATTCATGGAAAGTTCCCATTATATGGTAGAGCACGTTGATTCTGAAGTATCTTCCTGTCATTCGCTTACCAAGCTGAAGAGGTGTACATCCAGTAATTATCAGATGTCTATCCTCTTGTAGTGTCTCATGAATCTCCACTGTTTCAGAATGGTACTTAAAATAATCTCGTCTTCCTTGCAAATATACCTATAAACATTGGGATCTAAACGTGAAGCAACTATAGTAATTTCGAATCCTCCTACTTAAGAAGAACACTGTGTTGTTGTCATGACATTATCTACTTTATGATTTGCAGTTTGCTATTCAAAGTATGAATGCTGTGTTAGGTTGTATTGAGGACGAAAAGCTTTTGTAGGCCTCTTTTTTTCCTTTCACATATTGACATAACTAATGCATTCTTGGTTCCATTTTTTATAAGGGCATTGTTTTCATGTTTGCCATCTATGCTTCTTTTTTGGATTTTGAATTCTATTTGTAGCTGGTGACTTCTATTCTCTTGAGTAATAATTATTTGTCCATTTTAACAGCCTTCAGGACTACATGTTTGAGGAGAGTGTTTGCCTTCTCCTCAGGGCATCATGGTTTAAACCTTTAATTGTGGAGGAAAAGACGGAGATTGATGATGACATGGATGACTTGTACATGTATGATGATGCAGATGATGATTTTACAGAAGATTATTTCATTAGCAGTTCTTCAAGACTCCGTATAGGCAATAGACGATGGGGAGACAATGGATATGTCAGTGCAGGAAGGCAAGAAGCGAGGCCTGTTTATCGACCAAACCCTCAGGAATCGGGTGCTGGTTCTTCCCGCGAGCCCAATAAGGAGACTGCTGGTTCTAAAGAACTTGTTGGGCGGCGTGCCAAGAGGGCACTGAAGCGTGAAGCTGCTGATAAGGCGGCCGCTGAGAAGCACCAGCAGCGTTTGGTGAGGATGGGTCGAAAGTGAGTTCTGCTCCTGAACGACGACCCTAAAGATCATGACTTCAGGAATCGTGCCACCCACCCTGTACATATTTCACTTCTTTTATTTGTAAAATAATTGACACAGTAAAGATGCTGGATTTACTGGTAAATGGTATGGACCATGTTCATACCCTGTTGTCAATTCCAGATACATATAATCATTGACAAATGGAAAAGGAAGCTCCTTGTTTCCCCAATAAATGTACATTGTTAGGTGAACTTCATATTTATCTTTTAGATCCTTAAGATTTAGTCTATTCCAACTCCCATCTTTGCTTCATATGTTAAGCTAGCTATGGATGGAGGATTTAAGAAGACCTGTAAATTTGTTTAGTTGAATAATACAATAATGGTAGTAGTCTAACTTGCATATGACTTTTTATCCTACATTTACCAGTTTTATGCAGATTCTTATTGTAAATTTTTCTTATATTTTTGTCTGTGTTGGTCTCTACAAAAATAATAATTCTTCTATAGCATTTTAAACTTCATATGTGGAAGGCATGCCAATTGTCAATGCAGCCTTACCTCAAAAGTGGATGCCAAAAGTCTGTTGGCCTTAGCACCTTTAGTTGACCAATCAATAGTCTATTGAGTTGAAAATGAACAAATGTCCCTCTAGTTCCTTCAACAATTTTCAATGGTGATATCATCTTCATGAATAATTCACTTTTACATACATAATTCAGTTGCAAGTAAAATTAAATCAAAATCACATATGGAATTGTGGCTAATGAGAGCAATTCTCTTATGGGAATAACTACTATAAAGTTACTTTTGTTATGTCATTCTAAGCAGAACAGGAGAAGATGATGACCAAAACAGTGCTAAAACCAGATATTGAATACCATGATGAGACATAGTTCAAAAGAAGGCTCTGCTACCATAAAATACTCTTGAATTTTCTTTCCTGTTGTTGTTCATATCTGATGATGAGCTTCCATGATCTTTCTGATCAGCTTTATCCAAGTCCAGTGGAAGCTTCATCTTTGCTAATGACTCGGTAAACTGCTGCATACTTCTCATGTACATATCCACTATCTGCTGTTGCATACCTGATTGTTCTGCATCAATCTTGATTATATTCCCTAATGGAGCTGTAAAAACCACATGGGGTTCTTTCAATTCTTCATCTTCTTTCTTAATTGAGTCCTTTTTGTTATCATTGATCTGTTTATCTGGTGAAGAATCTGCTGAGTTCCTGTCATCACTTAGAGAACTTGTCATTGAGGAGCTAAGGAACCAAGAATTTTGTTTGGGAGAAATATTTGATTCATCATCTTCTGATGGATTAATTGCAGCCATTTCATAGTCATCTTGTGGCTGTTGTTGTTGATCATCATGATAATGACTGTGGAATGCAGAAAGTTGGAGAAATGAACCTCCTAAGTCAAAATATTGAGACACCATTTCTTGATTCTCTTGAACTAAACTGATCTCAGGGAACTCAATTCTTGAATACTCAACTGGATCAAGAATAACTTGAGATGTATTTCTGTCTAGTAACACAACTTCTGAACTTATAGAAGAAGAAGATGATGGTGAACACGAAGGATTGTTCGATACTGAAATGAGGTTGTTGGTATTCAAGAAAAGGGACAATTTAACTATACCAGCAGGGGAATGAAACAAATCAGTTGAAGAAAGGCTAAAATCTTGAGTGATTTTTCCTTTGCCAACAACTGAAGAAATAGGAACTAAAGCAAATCCCAAGAGTTGATCTTCCATCAAGGCTTTGGCTCTACTGAGCATCCAAATTTCACATTTGAGGATGGAATCAACTTGGGAAACTTTCATCGCTAAATCTTCATTGAAATCTGGATTCTTGCCACCACCATTTATGATCCTTGTTGATATAGCTTCATCAGGATTGTACGTAAGTGAAAATTTGGCGTACACATCTTGATTGTTATAGATACAGATATTGTGAATGTTCCTAGCATGGTGGACATGAATTTCAAGTACTCCTGAGAGTTCAGATTCTGAATCTGTACTTAAATTAGAGTTGTATAGAAAACCTGTTGATGTTTGCTTGAATGAGTCCATCGAAGGAAAAAATCAAGATTCTAGTTCTTTAAATCAAGAAAGAATATGGGGTAGTTTGGTTGCCTACTTCCCTTGGGTGTTAGGTTGCTATAAGAATACACATTTCATGTTGCTTTATCTGGTTCTTTGGGAGGCAAGAATAAGCTAAGAAAATATGGTTTGTTAGTACATATAACACATTACTTAGAGTTGAAACATGGCATTGGAGGTTTGGAACTTATCTTTGTTCTAGGACAAGGCTAAGAGTGACTTAGAGTTGAACTAAAAAAGTTTATAAACAAATTGAGGATATGGAATGAAGTGAGAAGTAGGTAAATATAGCATGGGAAGGGCTCATAAAGTAAGAGTTTAATTTGTGTACATTGACAGCAAAATCAATTTTATACTATCAGGTCACTCAAAAAATAACTACAAGTTAAAAAAAAATAGTATTAGAAACCTAGAAAAAGGTAACCATCTATAAAAAGTAGGATTATTAACCTGGAAAAGAAGACAAATTACTTGCTACGGCATATTGAAATGCATTAATAGTGTATTTTTTTAATTTCCATTATCAATGTGTAAAGACCTTTGTGTCCTAGCCCTTTTACGGACTCCACACATAGTGAGAACTTTGTGCATCAGAGCATCAGACTGTCCTTTCTTTTTTAAAATCAATGTGAGTATGATGAGAGGAATGTTTTGTTTTCAAGTAAACAACTAAAATATGGGATTTTCATGTTTTTCCCTTGTCACAAAATTTCTTGTTGGTTTGATTGATTAACAACATTCTAGAGTGAATTTTTTTTTTTCCAAATATATTTATGAAATTTTGCACTTAAAAAATGGGAAGACTTTTGCTAAATGGAGCATGATGATAATGATGATGAAGTGAGAAAAGAGAGTGGCATTTTTCTTCCTCCACTTTTAATGTTTTCTCTAGCTTTTAAAGAGTGGGTGAGAGATATTTGGTTGAGAGTGGGGTTTTGCTTTGCTTGGCATTGCAACTTCCTCAATTTGCTATCACCACCTATTGAAAAATGGAGGCCCCTACCCTCTCCATTTTCATCATTCATGGCTCTTATTCAAAGATTCCCTTCAAAGTCTCAATAGATTTTGTCATGTGTTAAAATTACTTTACCTACTCTTATTTTAACTAGGAGACTTGAGTTAATTTAGTAAATTAGGTTTTAGATTGGATTTAAATATTTTTCCTAATAAAATTGCCATCATCAAGCTAGAGCTATGATGTTAAGGTCTGGCGTAATGACAGAGCTAGAAATTTCATGAAGAGTGTTTAGTATAGGTAAAGTAACCTTTTTAAAAAAAAAAATAATTTGGTGCATCAAAAAATTTTAAAATCAAATTATACAATATTAGTAATTGTCATTTTTTAAAAAAAATAAGCCCTAATATACGAATTTGTGAATGTTGTTCTTGGGTTTGACATCCCACGAGCTCTTGAGAATTCTTTTAAATGACTATTGTTTGTGAGTGATGCCTAGATAATTAAATGGCTTTTTCAAACATATTAACCGTGTTCAGCGACGGCTCAAGCACATTAGTGGTCTAAAGTTAAAATCAAACTAAGGCTTCGAACTTTTAAAAAATGTTAATATTTTTTATATAATTGATTTCTTCTAATATCTTTTTTCAATTGATAATATAATAAATCCATATTATCTTTCATGAGTCATTGTACTCTAAAATCTCATTTGTTTGTATTTAATGGAAGTTTGAATTTGAATGGTTTAGACATTAGACCATCAAGTGTATCTGTTTTTTTTAGTAAATGATCTCTTAATGAGTCTGAAAACATCTAATTCGATCAAATCTATGAGAGTCTTATTTCTACTCAGACTCCTTTTCAAACACTTATTTATTTCCCCGAAAAGCTCAAACATAGCTTTCTCTCTATACATATATGGCCCCTCTCTCGCCCCAAGTATCAACACCTGGTAAAAAAAAAAAATCCTCTTGAATGGGTAAGATTTCAAAACATTTTATAAGTAGGCATAATACATAAATGTGCCCTTTAATTTAGCTTTATTTTACATTTATGCCCTCCAACATTGTGTACAAGTAGACATTTAAACATGTATAAAGTTGAACGAGTAGACACATGAGTCCTACATGCTATAATACACCTAGGGCACCACGTAGGATGCAAATTGTCATATAGGATGCCAGGTAGGATGTGGGTATCTATTTGTTCAACTTTATGCAAGTTTAAGTGTCTAGTTGTGCATACCCAAAGTTGGAGGACATAAATGTGAGCTGAAGTCAAGTTAAAGAACACATATCTATGTATTAAACTTATCTACTTATAAAATGCTTTGAAATCTTATACCCTTTATCCATATCGATGGATATCAAGATAATTTATGATGACATAGGACATACAAAGGTATAAGTACTCCAAAGTGGGTGACAACAAAAGTACAAATAAGTAATTAAGTATTTAATGAACTCTTTGGAAAGATAAAATTTTAGGAACTTTAATTTTGTTTAAGCTTCAAGAGAAATTAGGGGAACATTAAACATGATGATGATATTACTTATAGGGATAAAATGGAAATTTTTTAATTAATTTTATCTTGATTTAGTAATTCGGGACAAGTATTTTTAGAAATATGATCAGTTAATATGGGACAGGAGGAGTAAAGATTAACGAATTGATAAAGGATATATAAGTCAAAACTACACTCTTAATTTATTTTTTCTTAAAAATTGCATAAAATCTTATCATGACGACTAAAAAAATGAAAAAATATTTGACATAATTATGTATTGCTGATAACAACAACACTAAGTCACTAATCAAGTTATCATTCAAACCACACAATGACAACACAATTTTACCAAATTGAATTGAAGCATGAGATATTAAGAAGAAAAATTCTAAGAGATATTAATTAATTAGCTACAACCTAATAGACTTTATGATCTTCAACTGCATGGTGCAAATTAAGCTCATATTTAGATTTATTGACATGTACCCATAAAAATGATGAAATAAAAAGTGTTCATGAACTGGATCTTCAAAATATTCATATAATAATTATTACCCTATTAAGGAAAACAGTCAAACAAACAAAATTAAAAAATCAGAGTTTTAACTGGAAAAACACACAATACTACTTAATAATTATTAGAGTGGAGGCGTTACATAAAAATAGTGAAAATAATAAAAGAAGAACACAAACCTATAATCCTCCCTACCTCACATAATTTTTTTTAAAATTGGTAGTTCAATTTGTGGGTTGAATATTTGATATTAGTGTTTTAATATCCTTTGGTGGTCATGCTTCCTCGACTTTTAATTGAAATTTCATTTTAATTTGTGGGTCGAATATTTGATACTAGTGTTTTAATATGATATAATTTAGTGTGGCATGCATGTTTAAATGGAATAAAAAATTAGTTCATTTTTTGAAGTTGGATTTTAATTTTTTTTAGGATAAATTGAATAAAAAGATGTTATAAAATCAATTAAATTAAATAATATATGATAAAGGGAAACTTAGTTAAATCATAATTTTTTATGTTAATAATAATTAGGTTAAGAAAATAATTATTAAGAAAAATAATAAGAGAGGTAAGCATAACATTATAAACTACTATGGAAGTAAGTATTACAAAACTAAACTTGAAGGGTAATTTGTGCAATTATCCCTTTTATCTTTTGGTTATAATGATTTTCTAGAAAAATAGTTTAACTTTAGTGATTTCATAAAAGAAAATTCATAAGTTGAGTGAGTTTGCTAATACAAAATTAAGTTGAGTGACTTTCTCAAATAATTTCACATACTTGAGTAACCTTTTGATGTCTTTAGCTCGTATTGATTTTGCACGACAGTACGTGATCTCTGTTCGCCTCATACATCGGAAATGAAACTCTTGTTGTTCTTAAGGCCGGAAAGACCCAATGTCGGTTTCATCCTTTAGTTTCTAACCTAACCCTAAATATGAAAAAAAAACTACACACCAAGATTTTGAACTATGGTGATGTCTTTTATTATAACAACAAACAATAAACGTAATTTTATTATAACAAAACAATAACATATCTTATTTAGTACATCGAATACAGATCAAGTAAAACCAATCAACATGCCTAGATAATCTTGAAGTTTAGTAATGATTACAAAATAAAGAACACACATTATAAATAATTATAGCACCATAGTTTGGCTTATACTAATTTAGTTGTTATCCCACCAGAATTGTGATTGGAGATAATCCACAACTTTCTTGTCAACTTGGAATATTTTGGTGAGGACATCTTTATTGATCTTGGTAAAGAGCTTATTCTTCATATTTGGACCCGGATTTGAAAGGACAAAACAAACATAGAGCGTGCCATCAAGGACCACAAGAACCTCGGTTCCTCTAGGGTGTGTGTGGTGGATTGAGACCATATGGTGCATAGTCAATACGAGCTAACGAAATACCCAAAGTATTCAACCCAGGTAAATTGAAGACGTTCACAACTGTTACTGCAAATCCAACATTATTTGAAGTATTTCTAGCTACGTTTAAGCCTGATTTGAAGAAGTCATCAGCATTGACAACTTTTGGATCTTTGCATACCTTTCCATTCACAAAAACTGCATAATAAGAAATTAGAATTAGAATATAACACAACAAACTAGGATCAGAAGCATGGCTTATTGAAGTCACCACAGCCAATATGGCAATATTAATACAAAGGACTTAAGAGCCATAGCAAATTAGAAACTCTAAAACAATCTAATTTATTATTGTTCTCTTTGTTTATGTGATTAATATGATAAGAGATGTATATATGCCTATTTATAGATAAAAGATTGTTTGAATTACTCTTAAAAGGTAGTAAAAAATCTAACAATTGAGTTGTGATATGTTGGGTCAACAACTACAAGGACTAATTAATCTAGTGATTTTTTGAGAAGATAGATACAGTTTATAACAACTACATATAATTATTTAAGACTAAATCATATTTGTGAAGGACTTATTATTAGAAATGGTCATGATAATATTGGATGCGGAAGAAAGAAGAAGTTGACTATGATACATAAATAAGCTCTTTAATTTGGTTTCAGCTGACATTTATGCCCTTCAACTTTGAGTGTGCACAAGTAGGCATTTAAACTTGTATAAAACTGAATAAATAGACACATTCATCCTACGTGACGTCCTGACAATTTTTTTGTCCTATCTGGTGTCTTACGTGTACGTGACGTCCTACATGACAGTGTTATGTCTTATGTGGTGTCCTAGGTGTATTATGTCACGTAGGGTCGACGTGTGTGTCTATTTGTTCAATTTTAAACAAATTTAAGTACATACTTGTGTATATCCAAAGTTAGAGGGCATAAATGTCAGCGAAAGCCAAGTTATATAGCTACCATTCTCTTGCAAATACATTAAGATTAATTACTATTCAAAGTGCTTGTATTCTTTTTCATTTTTTCTTTCTAATGTATTTGTTTCCATACAGTTTTCGTGAATGAAAAAGTTTGTAAAACTTGTCACTACTGATGATTTCATCAGATCAGGCCTAAACAACCCTGGAAATACGTCAAATCAACTTGGATCAATTATTACCGCTGTCAACATCAACAATTTATCCAGCTTAACACTTTAGGCTTTTCTTTAGCTCGTATTGATTTCGTGCAACGTGGTCTCTTATATTTATTTATTCAATAAATTTTACGTATGTAGTGATTTAATTTGTGAAATGGTACTTAAATTTATTTTTGCTTGGTATTTATAATTATATAATCATCATGTTAATGTTTTATCAATATTTAATTTATTTTTTATTCATTTATATATAATATTGATTGAAAATTTGAATATGTATATTTTAATTTAATAAATTAAAATTTTAATTGTAAATTTTATAATAGTAATTTTAAATAATATTTAATATTAGAAGTGCACTGATACTTGTCCTTTTTCATAATTTGACTCTCAAAAGTTTTTTCTTTTTAAAAATAGTCAAACACAATCTGTTTATCAAAAACACTTTTCAAATAAATAAACCAAACAAATTATTATTATTTTCAAAAGCACTTTTCTTAAAAGCTATTTTTAAAAAGTGCTTTTGAAAATAAATAGTTTTAAGCAGCAATGTCAAACAAACTCTTAGTCTAAATACAATGTTTGTTTTGATTGTTACTTAAATTCTATTGTATCGTATCGTTTAAATTCATCGTTAGGTAACGACGAAATGACCCATTTTATGTAACGACCAATTTGGTGCGACCACGTCGTTACCTTAATATTTTCTTCTCATTTTATCTTTACTTATTATTTAATAATTCTATTTTTCATTTACCCCACTTTTTCATTGTAGTTCTACCTTGTATCCTACAATATCTTGTAGGTTTATCATTCAAATTATGAATATGTGACATTATGTAACCAACGTTGTATTATTAAAATAATATAATATGATACAATACAACACAATACAATACAATATAGTACGATACATTATGAGACAATACATAACAATCATCCAAATATAAAAAAAATTATGTATGTATTGTTACTATTAATTAAAATTTTCTTAATAATGTGTTGTTAATCTCTTACTAATTATTATGTACATATTTTTAAAACTTTATTATTGATGTAATTATAATTAAAATGTAGACAATTAAATTTACTGTTATTTTTATTTCTTAACTTGTCTAATTCACTTCAATTTGAATCAACCATGTTTTAATATTGAATTTTTAAGATCGTCTTCAATTCTTTGAGATGTTTTATTAAACATTTCAAGCTCAAACTAATTAGATTATCAAATAATTAAAATTTAAAAATGTTGCTTAACTTTGAATGTCTTCAAAAGGTAACAATCACTAATATTCTTTTATAAAAATTAAAAGTATTACGAAATATTATATAAGTTAAAAAAAATGACACTCTAATTGGCATATCCAATGGAGTGGAGTCTTAATTTTATTTTTAAATACTTTTAGAGTAACTTTGATAGTTTATGTAACAATTGATTCCATTGAAAACTATTGAAATTGTTTTCAAAACTATAATCAATAAGAGAGATTTAAATATTTGTGTTGTTATGTAATGTACAATAATTTATATATGTGTATTCATGTCTTACAAAATATTGCAAGAAATGTTATATTGTCAATTGAAAAAGAAAAATAAATTATTAAATTATAATCAATTATAATATTTTTTTAGAATTTATGAGAGTAAATATATATAAAAAATTAAATAAACTGTAACACCTCGAAATGTGGGAAAGGTAAGGAGGTTAAAGGGCAGGTCCACAAACCTAAAATGGACCATGAACTCTCCACGAAAGCCTAAACGGCTCGTGAAATGGGTCCACCGCCCATTTAGGGAAATGGGTTGGTCGTTTAAGGAAACCCTAAAGTTGCCCTCACCCTTCACGACCCCCTTCACGGACCGTGAAGGGCTCCCATATAAGGCCTCGGTCAGCTTTTTAAGTTAAGACTATTTTAATCTTTCCCTATTAAGTTTTCTCATTTTAACCCCTATTCTAAGCCCTATATATGCAATTTAAGTCCTAAAATTATCCATTCTAAATCATTCACCTAAATCCTAAATTTCCCTACAAGTTCATCCCAAAATCCTCTATAAAGCCTCTCTAAAGCTAAGGAATAGAAGCTAGGTTTCACTTCAAAATCTTCAATTCACCATAAATATTGGACCTTGATTAATAAGTTATCTTAGTATTCAGCTAAGAAAGAGAAATTAGGGTTTCACTTCAAAATCTTCAATTCACCATGTATATTGGGCCTTAATTACTACGTTATGTTAGTATTCACTTATGGAGTCCTTTCCTTCCATAGGGTTCCCAAGATCTTCCAATTCTACAAGTTAGATTCTCAATTCAAAGTTAGGGTTTTATTCTATATTCATGGATTCTTTATCAATTATGATTCAATTACTTCTTTTCTATCTTTTAATGCATGAAATGAAAGTATTTACATGATTTCGAGTTGAATTCATATGAACTCATGCATGATCCATGATATTTGACTATGAACACATGATAAAGCTTATGAACTATGATTTATAGAAATTATGCATGTTTTATGAAAGCAATGTTTATGACTCAAGTAAACTTATAGATGAAGGTATATATATGTTCTATAAAGCTTGGCCACATGACATGAATGACATCTAAATTTGCCATCAATTCTTTTGATTATTTTTCTATATCAGGTCTTGATTAGTATGGTATCTGGATATGTCCTCAATGATCATGGATCAATTTTTCTAAAACTAATATCATTAGTAGTTACTATGGGCCTTATAAATCTATTATGAAAAGATCACGAATGGTGAAAGGTTTTTTAAGACATGATTTAATGAGCTACTCTATGATGGTTCTAGCTTGGATTAGTAACTTAATTGTATTTTTCCATGGATGATAATATGAATATTATTAATGACTATTCCGTGAGATTTTACTTAGCACCGAGTGGGCTTTTGGGATGAAGGTTTCCGTTTAGCGTCCATGAACCTTTATTAGGAATCCCTAAGTCACATGACTATGTGTCACCATACAATTTTGTCTCAGATAGACATTAGCTAGTGGATCCCCTTTAGCTCAGACTCATGGTCCTTACCTTGGCAAGTAGGACACTCTCTTTTCGGTGTGGAAGAAGTACACTAGATTCCATGTTATAGATCACATGATCTATGTCGATTAATAGTAAACATCCCACAATAATGAACTAAGTTTACTTTCAAAGTATCTCACAAGTGTTTTAAAGATGTTAAGTTTGCATTGACCATGATTATGACTCATGTTTTCTAACATTTAATCTTGTGATTTAGCTTGGTCATTGCATGTCATGTAAAGTCCTTTTAGCATGATTTCATAATGCTTATGCATTGCTATCATATTTAGTACATTTCATGTACTAATGCATGTTTGTGCCTACAATATTGTTTCATTAATGTAGGATTTGACACTCCTACCTCTCATACTCGTGGCTAGTTGATCTCTTTGGCACTTGAAGATTGGTGAGTCCTCATGATCCGAGGGTCGAGACACTTTTATAGCTTTCTTTCATTTCAGTTTTCAGACTTTGTATGTGGTGTATGGGTTACGTCCCAACCTCTTCCTTTTGATGTAATAGATGGCTTGATGAAACTATGATTAGATTTTTGCTTTGTCAAAATCTTTATGATATAAGATTGTTCTTTTGAAATATTTATTTCTATTATCGTGTATGATGTATGCTAAGTGGCTTGTGTAGGACCTTTCAGGATTCTATACGACATGTTACGCCTAGGATATACTTTGGATCGTGACATAAATGATACCATTTTTCGTAGCGGAACTGGTAGTTGGTGAATTCATGGAAGTGGTAGTGTGGTAGTTGATAGTGTGGTAGGTGAGTATTTTATTTTAAAGATTTTATTATAGTATTCTTTTGCTAAGTGTCTTAATCTTGATATTCTTTTAATATTATTTTTTGGTAGTGCTAAATTCATGGTAGTGTGTAATAATATTTATTGTAATAATCTTCCGATAGTTGTTTTAATCTGAATATTTCTTTAATATTATTTATGATATATTCTAGATATAACATATCTTGGGTTCTTTGGT